AATGTCTTGGCATCAACACCCGCTTCCCCCGGCTAATAATTAAAATCATTATGTATGAATATAGCAAGCTCTAGCTGCTTTTCCGAGGGTGGACCTTTCGCTATATAATAGCTATATCTAGGTGTATCTGAAGGTGTAGCACTTGTTGCATAGGAATATGTCTATTATTTGCGTTGTTTCTGCAAGGACCGCCGCGCCCAGCAGGCCTGATGGTTTTGTGAGATGATCGACCGAACAAAGTAGATCAACATCGAGTCTTCAATACGCCCGGCTAATTCATTCGTCGGTCAGGGCTGACCATCAGTCTTTAGCCAACATCAGATCCGGGATCATCTTCGTCCCCCTCAACGGAACTCCCAAATCAATCCATGAATGCTAGTAGATGTGCGCGTGTTATTAGCTAGGGTGACCGTTCAACCTTAACCAACTCAATATCCCGCGTGTGCAGTTTGCTCACCTTCAACAGCCTCTGAAACTGATTTGGATGATGCATAGGTGCATTGTGTTAAGGAGACTTTTTGGCTTATGAGAAGTTGGTTCAGTTTCGATGAATGCAAGAGTAGTCATGCCCAGGTGCAGAAGCGTTGATGAGTGCAGTGGTTCTTGTGGTCCCTATGCATACTGCATCAAGAGCGGATCAGACCAAGGTGACAAATATGTTCACTGATGTAATATGTCAGAATCTCCTAGTCCCTACCAAGAACGAATATGGCCTCCCACTCATTTGCTTCGTCAGCATCAAAATCGTTTCATATATCGATTTCGCATTTCCGTGCTGGTTTAATGAATGTCCCAGGCAGACAAAGTCTTCCTTTGAATATGATCATGAATCAATGCTCTAAAGAATTCTTAGTGATTCCGCACATCAAGCAGAGAGGATATAAGCCCAGGGCGAGAATTAAGACCGTAAAATAACAAACAATCATCGTGTTTCAAAACAGGCCACCAATGACGAGTCATTTCGCGGGAGAGAGTGAGTCCGAAATACAAGATGGTTAAAGAACTGGATGGCAGTGCCAACAAGATGCAGTCCAACCAACCACCCACTGGTAAGGGGGCAAGTTTTGCCGTGTCGTCGATTCGCTTTGCACAAAAGTGAGAAAGAGTTTAGCATTACCCAGAAACGCAAGCTGTATATGAGGAAAACAAGGTGTCTTCCCGACAATGTTTTTCAAATTGACACAGTAAGACGGGTGTAGACCCATAGAAGTATTCAAAGCCCGAATCCATGTATCCATAGGATGGGAAGGGTGAAATGCAGCTCCCACCAAGTCCCTAGGTATTAGTTACTGGGTTAAATTATCTTTGCCGGAGCCAACGGGATGTGAAAAGTTTCAGCATTTGAGAGTAGAATCATGCCTAAATGCACGGGTTAAAAGCTGACATAAAAACGCGGGATAAATTCATACGATGTGGAAGTGGATTAAGGAACAACGTTAAATTACATCCCATCCGCCCGTTTACTAGCGGCTGATGCTGTCCTTTTTGGCTGGCCTACCAGATGCCAGCAAGAGACCCAAACAGACCCGGTTAGGCATGATATAAATAATTAAGCCCCATTTGTTCCGAGAGTTCGTCTTCCCGATTTCCACTGTTTTACTAGGCTCTGGTTCCTCTTGAGTCCCCGTCACAGCCGTTGGCTCATGACTGTGTCCGGTGTTCTCCATCATCCGTGCTGCCGCAGTCTTGGTCCTTGCTTCTTTCTTATCGACCTTTGGACTTAACTGTAAGAAGACTCCCACCTCCTTCGTACAACCAACACACATCACTCTTGCGGCTACATCTCCGTCTCTGTGACAAACAAATTATTCCTCTTGGATTCTCAGCTGGCTTTGGTCTTGTCTATTACCACCGCATCTCACTCTCCTCCTGCGTATTTTTTTACTCCTGGCGCACCTTAATTCCCAAGCTACATTCCCCCCTTTCCATCCCCCCCCCCCCCCCCCCCCATTCCAAACTTGACCACGTCCCACCCGCAGCTGTCCCGTCGACCACACCAACCACCGCAAACATGTCAGACACTGAAGAAGAATGGAAGCCTAATGGCCGGCCCCAATCGTCCGTATTATCTTCCCTCTTGTTGTTTTCATGCATCAAATATTGATCCAAATCCAATGCAGGACCATGGCCCGTTCCCTCGCTGCCACCCTTGACAACCTCTTTATGTTAGATAGCGAGGTCGAAAACCTGACAACATCTGTTCACTACAAGTACGCCTACCAACGTTCAATCAACCTTTCGTCTTCTCTGCTTGCCCTTTGCACAACCATCCATCTACTCTACGATATAACATGAATTATCGTGCCGATGCGCAATAAACTCAATAAACAGCAACATACAATACAATACACCTTCTACAATACTAGCTCAAGTCCCGCCGCCCAAGCAGTCTACATATGCTGATAATTTTCCATGGTTCTCCAGGCAACAAATGGTCACGATCCAAAACCGTGAGCTCGAAGCTCTGCAAGCTAGAATCAGAGAAGCTGAGATGCGTCTGAAGGAAAAAACTTCCCGTTCCATATCCCTAGAAGATTGCAACACAGAGATTGCAGCACCTTTGCCACCAGGCAAGGATGTGGATGAACGAAATGGCCACTTCCCATCCTCCTCATCTTCTCCCCCGGAAAGTCACCAATCGGACGAAGGCTCCAGGGATTCTTCGACCACAGCAGCTACGTCCAGTGATGTTGATGACAGAGCGAGTCACGATGGTTCCGGGAATGAGAGACAAGAGAAGGAGAATAGCAGAGGCCGCAATTCGTGACAGGGGACATGTGAATGAGAAGGGTGAGCTTTCCCTCGTTGATACCATGTTTTTCGTTTTCCACTTGCACCTGCACAGCTCCTCAACCTGTTCGCAAGTGAGAATGAAGAATCTCCCATTATGATTGCCAGCGTGCGGCAGGATACCCATCTCTCTCTCTCTTCCTACCACTCGTAAAACGGTTTGCTTCAAGACACAACAAGATATATAACCCTTTTATATTTTTCATCTTCTCCCCCCCCCCTTAATTTTTTTTTCTCTAGCTGCCTTATTTCCCAACCATAACATGCGTCATACATAACACATACATATATACCCATTACATCTTACTGCCCCTTAAATTTACATATGCCTCCCCTCTCCTTTGCTACTTTTTTTCCTTTCTTCTTTCCTTTTTTCGCATCCACTTGAACACTTCGATCATTTGGCCTTTTGTTGTTCGAAACACCCTGTTCGCATTTTCATTCTTTCATTTATCAAATTCTCCTTACTATTTCTCAATCCTTTTTAATTACTTAGCCTTTTAATACAAGAGTGGGTGAATGGCCCCTCAGGAGCTCAAGACTGCACTGATCTGATGAATTTTGCCGGTAATTGTTCTTTTTAAATACCAAGAATCAACTCAAACCTACAGGGATTATCAGACAAGGATGGGAAGTTCAAAAAAAAAAAAAAAAAAAAAAAAAAAAAAAGGGATAAACCCTTCGATTCTTGTTGCGTAGGACACTTGGTTGATAACTGGCAGGATAAATTCAAACGAAAATCAATGCCAGTAAATCAAGATATATTCCATGATCCCTATTTATCAACAACAACTCTGGCATCTACGGATTAGCCGTTGCCCCGGGTGACCACCCCGCCACACGTGATCAGACATATAGAACCTCTTCGCACAGAAAGTTCACCGAGTCTCTTTTTAATTCATGAAAGATGCACCAGCTATTCTGGACCCCCATGTGTTCTTGCTGTTAGTGGCGACCCACCGAAACTCCTTGTAGGAAGGCCCACCAATCGAGGGAGGGTGCTGGTGGGGAGGAGGAAGCTGAGCAAGGGGTAATCAATCGCCTATGGGAATAGGTCTGCACTATGACTTCATGCAAACCTCACCAAACTAGAGAATGAAAAGAAATTATAAATGGAAGCTTGACACCAACCCGGATCGAACTGAAGTTTGTAGTACTCATGGGATAACCAACTACAACCATCCGTCTTTACTTGTTGGAGGCAATAGGAAGGATAGCATCTGAAACATATACTTTTTAACTTCTATTATAAGGATGTTTCTGGCATGTACATGTATTTGCATTTGATAACACTTGTGCTCGTATACAGTGCAAGAGGTGCTGGTGAAGTTTCTGCACGTGCCAGTTTGTGGCCTACCAATGATTGCTTTGGGGACTTACGATTTCGAGGGGAGGAGGCGTGCAGAGTGTCGAGGAACTCATTTT